ACGTTTTCTCGACCTTTCATGACCCCTAGAAGACGAAGAAATAGGTCTCCCATTTCCGTCTGTCTGTCCGTGTGTCCGTCTGTCCGTCTCTCCGTCTGTCCATCCGTCCGTCTGTCTGCCGTCCCGGATTTTTATTAGACAGATAATCTCCGAAAGTACTGGACCCATTGTTGTGAAATTTTGTAGTTATATTAGGAATATCACGTAGATGGTAAAACGCCAACCAAAATTTGTCTAATCATCCCCACCACTAATGTGATGACGTCACTTCAAAATTGTACATAGTAAATGGGTTTTAAATTGTATAAAATAATATAGTCCTAAACATGTAGTTTAGTTTAAAAAAAAATAAATTATAAAACAACATTTTGCAATTTAATTTTGAATCTGCTAATCCGAACGTTGTGAAATGTTGCAGATGTTTTAAGGCTATAAAGAGCATCATAAATCTTTACTCAAAATATATTTAGTTATCCCCTCCAAAAAATTGCTGACGTCAGCTCGAAAGTTTGCCGAATAAATCCTATCTAAACTGTACAAAATATGATGAGTCTGTACTTGTCATTTATCATTCCATTCAAATTTTTTCGATTTCCATATACAGGGTGGCTCAAAAAAATTAATGAATGCGTAAATTTATTTTATTGATTTACCCAGGAACTACAAAGACCGATTGTTGCCAAATTTTATATATATATATATATCCATTTTTATTAGACAAGTAATCTCCGAAACTATTGGACCAATGGTTTACAAATTTTGTATGTATATTAGGAATTTCATGTAGATGGTTTAATGCTAATTAAAATTTGGCTAATCATCCCCACCACCAATGAGATGGATGACGTCATCACCAAAATTTATAATAAAAAGTTTTTTGAAATTGTACAAAATGAGATACTCCTGCACTTGTGGTGTGTGAATTCGTGTCAAATTTTCACCCTAGACTTTCAGCATTTTTGGAAAAAATTCAACACTGAATAACAATATTTTCCTATATAATTTTGAAATTACAGAACCGATTGCTGTGAAATCTTATACTCTAAATATTTTAAGGTTATCGTAATTATAGTAAATCGCTAAGCAAAATTTATTCGTTTATCCCCTCTCAAAAAATTGATGACGCCATCTCAAAATTTTGCCGAATAGGTCCTATCTAAAGTGTGCAAAATATGGTAAAGGTATACTAGTGATTTATCATTGTATTAAAACTTTTTAAATTTCTTATACAGGCTGACTCACAAAACTTAATGAATGAGTCAATTTATTTTATTGATTAAATCGGGAATAGCTCACTCCGTTTTCCCGAAAATTTGAAAATGAACGATTCTGTGTAAACATACTTACAAACAATGAAGAACAATATAGCTTCACGATAGCAGTAAATTTATCGCTACTAATAATTTATTTGTGTACACTAAAGACGTTTTAACAACTAAGGAAGAAGGCTTTGTAGCATAGTGACTTTCACTTTAACATTTATTACCCAAAACACTCAAAATAAAAAACATTTTGCCGTTCACAACCCACGTTGGCATTATCTAGACCAGCGGTTCCCAAACTTTTTTGACTGTGGAACCCCTGGAGACAAGTTTAAATTTTACTGAACCCCAAGATTCGTTCCCTTAAACTTAAGTTTATAATAGACTTTTAACTAATAGATACGAATATAAAAAATGCAAAATTCTTGTGAAAATTTTTGGAAACAAAAATTTAAAAAATTAATACACATATATTTTATTTATTATTAATGTGAGGAATGAAACTGTTTACAAGTTTTGGCAATAAGGTTTTCAAAGTAAACCTTTAGATCCGATAACTGGACCCTCAAATCTGATGAAGCAGTTAGTCTGTTGAGATATTTGTTTTTTCTATATATATATGCTGAGAATCCTGCTTCACAGCGATAGAAACAAAGGGTAGCAAAACTCTAAAAGCTTTTTCGGCCACTCCTGGAAATTCTAATTTAAGTCCAGTCCAAAAGTCACTCAGGGGCATTGATTGAAATTTTATTTTCAAATCAGAAGAGCACTGAATTTCAAGCAGACTTTCACAGTCCTCCATTGAGAACATGGACGGTTTGTTTGCAGTCATCTGATAAGAAAATGGATTTTGCACCCATTGGACATCATCGGCTTCAGTAGTGTCAGGAACATATTCTGATAAGGAAGTCGAAAGTCCCGTTAAATGGTCACAAATATTTATTTCTACGTCTCTGTTGAGACTTATTTCGTTTTCTGTTAAAAATAATTTAACACGGGAAAATAACTGGCATTTTGATTATTAATACATGACTCCAAAACAAAAATTTTTTTTCAATGCTGATATTTTGTCTCTCATAATAAAAACTGTTGTTGACTTTCCTTGCAAAAACAAATTCACCTCATTCAATTTGCTAAATATGTCAGCAAGATAGGCCACTTGCATCAACGACTTCTCATCACATAGAAATTCAGCGTATTTCACAGACGGGGATGAATAATCATTAACAAAAAAATTTTTAAGTTCATTGCGTAACTCAAAAATTCTCGTTAGAACCTTACCTCTTGAAAGCCATCGGATTTCTGTGTACAGAAGAAGTGATTGACTGTTCATGTCTTCACAATTTATTTTAAAAAGTCGCGATTGAAGTGGTCGAGATTTTATAAAGTTTACAATCTTGACAGCATTGTCCAGTACATTTTTTAATTCATCAGGAATTTTTTTCCCGACAAGAGCGTGTCTATGTAAGACACAATGGCTGCTCGAACAATTAGGTGCCACATTTTTTATTCTTGACACTACTCCTTTTACTTTGCCTACCATTGCGGCAGCTCCATCGGTACAAACATTGATACACTTGTGCCAGGTAAGATTATGTTTAGAAACGTAACTATCAAGTATTTTAAAAATCTCTTCACCAGTGGTTTTCGTTGCTAAGGAGGTACATAAAAATAAATCTTCTTCAATAGAAGATTCGAAATCATATCTAACAAAAACGAACAGTATCGACAGTTGTGCAACATCTGTACTTTCGTCCAGTTGCAAAGAACTACATTTTTGCAATCTTTGCAGTAATTCTTCTTCAATATGTTCAGAAATTTTGTGAATTCTATTAGACACAGTGTTATTTGAACATTGAACCATGGCAACTTTCTGTGCAGCTTCTTCTCCTAGAATACAAGTAACTACGTCGGCCATGCACAGTTTGATTAAACCTTCTGCAGTGGTATGAGGTTTCCCAGTACGGGCAATTCTGTAACTAAGTAAGAAAGATGCTTTTGTTGCATTTTCGTGGTCTGTTTTTACATATTTCTTTAAAAGTGTTTTCCCAGCATGATGACTTTCTTTCTGTCTTTTGAAGAACAACATGTCTTTGTCTTTTAAATGCGGATGGTTGGTATCCAAATGACGTTTCAGTTTTGCTGGTACCAAAGAGCTGTTTCCCAGAACTTTGCTGCAAACATTGCCTTGTCCATCCGGATGTTCTGCATTACCAACCGGAATAAAACCGAAAGATAGATAAATGTCGTCGTACTTTCTTTTTTTCGAAAACTTCGAATGTAGCTCCTTCGTATCACAATCCATTGTTGATGCTCCCTAAAATGCGTAAAACACAAACCGGTAAAAAATGACATTTCTGAGCTATACTCCCGTCTCCTACTATTCATTTGGCAGAAACTACTTACGGAAGAACTCGGCAAACTTTGACAAATACCTTCCTTTTGTATTGGTTCTGTGACAGTATTGCCTTGCACTTGTTCTTTGTGGTGATCAGTTGGTTCCAAAGCAGTTGATTTAGCCGCAGATAATTGGCCCGTCTTAAGCCGCCTATCCATAATCACAACGCTGGTGTACAACAAGCACTCAACAACTCAAGGCATTAATTAACGTCACTGTTATCAAATCATAGAATCAGGGAACTTTTGGAACAAATATGTAAGTTTGAACAGAGCTATCGTGTGAGTGCTTGCGATTGTTGGTGCCGAAAACATTCTCTGTTTATTCGATTAACAGGAAATGTATTCAGAAAAACAAATGTCTTTTCTGAGAACTATTCACAATACGAATTCTACGAGTCGTTATTGCAATTTTTTATGACTACTTAGACTCAATTTTTCGAGGAACCCTGGGACGGCTTTCGCGGAACCCTAGGGTTCCGCGGAACACACTTTAGGAATCGCTGATCTAGACATAAGTAAATGTAAATACCCTGTCAATTCGCTCCATTTTGTGTAGATAATGCCAACGTGATTGAGGAAACGCGTCGACCAAAATTTGTTGTTTTTTTTTGGTATTTTGGAGAATAAACGGTACAGTATTATTACGCACCGTGTGGTAAAAAAATCCTTATACTGACTTTAGTTAGGTTTTTGTCAGCATCAAAAATACTTTACGTGCTTTGGGATACAAGATCCACTATTAGTTTGGATGAATTTACAACAAATCGAGTGCAAACCTTCTCTGCCATGATTCTTCCTCGGATGTTTTTATTGCAAAAAGAGGGTTTTCAAGGATCAAAGTTAGAACTTTCTTTATTTTTGCTTTTTATTAATGAGGTTGAAAACATTTTTAAGCATGTCTCGTTATTACTTTTTGCCGACGTTTTGAAACTGTTTCTGAGAATCAGTTTCTTTGGTGATTATATGAACTTGAAAACTGAATTTGATAATTCTGTAATTTTGCGCTGGTGTCATAATGGTTAGACCTTAATTTCCTAAATTGTAATTATTTATATACATTTTAAATTTAGCTTTATCTATAGTAGAAGTTTCTAGAATCAGTTAAGAACTAAATAAATGGATTTTTGGAATTGGTATTTATAAAATAACAATAAAATATTATACCAATTCCAAAAATTTTAATACAAAATTCAAATTCCTTCCAGGAATTCTCTTTGAACTCAATGACCAGTGGCATCTTTAGAAAAAGCAATTTCAACGTCTTTATTTTGGAGGTTCAAATTTGTGCAAAATTCTTATTCGAACACTCAATTGATGCTCACGTTGTGTTATTTTCAGTGTACGTGGTTCAACAGTCACGCAGTCGACTGGATCTACCAGGGCCCCACTCTGGCAATCCTCCTCCTCAACTTAGCCTTCCTTCTCGCTATAATGTGGGTGTTAATTACGAAACTTCGATCCGCCAACACCGTGGAAACGCAACAATACCACAAAGCTGCAAAAGCCCTCCTCGTACTTATGCCCTTGCTCGGCATCACCTACGTGATCACCATGTACGCTCCAACCCCTGACAAAAAATCGGAAATGATCTTCGAATGCGTGCGGGCGGTCCTTCTCTCGACACAGGTAAGTGCAACTACTCCATAAGGAAGTAAAGTAGAAGTGATAATTGGCGATAATAAAATTAAAAGCCTCCGCTCATTTCATCCGTCCTCTAATTATAGTTTGTTATCGGAAGTGGCAAAATTTCATTATATCTTCACGAGATCGATTTTGTGTTTGATAATTAATTGTGGAGTGGGTTTTTGAAATATTAAAAAGTTTTAAGGAACAGTGGATCGGATGCTGGGGTTAATAAAATGAGATAATGCTGTAGCTCCTAGAAAGAAGAGGTTTTGTTTACTTTCAATTAATTAATTGGGGAAGTGCGAGTTCTTTATGGTGAAGCAAGCTTTGACTGGTAGGAGTGACAGATGTATGTGTTAATTAAATGTTGATTTTATGATCAAAGGAACGTGGGGACTGTAAACTCGCATTAGTGACTGGTTTTCCAATTAGTAATATGTCTGTTCAAAGAATGATTTTTTGATTTATTTCGTTACGGAAGGAGCAGAGAAAACTGGCTCTAGTCACAATTCAGTGCGGTAACAATTAGGGTTGCAGAAAACCTGCAATTCCGTATTCTATGATCCGTAAAAGAATGAAATTACGCCACTAATTAGTGTCAGTTTTGATGTTTGCAATTAAAAATCCAGCTTTTGGTTCATTGTAGGACTCTTACATTAATTGACAACTCCATTAGTTGCCCTCTTTGTTGCAGAAGTATTATATTACGAGATATTACCCCAATAATCCAGCTGGAAACATTTACTCGATTGTACTTAACCATGGCCATCTTAAAGCCGAACTTTTCTTCGGCTTAATCACGTTTGTCTCATCCTCGTCCTAAGATTAAGCACTCATCGAACAAATGTTTTATATCTTTCAGTTCCCCTCTTCGCAAATTAAATAAACCCTTAACTGGCGAAACCTGACTTAAACCCGAAATCAACGTCCACACACGCAACGTCTAATTCCTAATAACTACCTTCTTATCTCCGGAAAAGGGTCACGTTGCAGCTTGTGTAGTTCCGTTTCCATAAAGCTCGCAGAACAAGCCGTATGAATTTTTGAAAAGGAAGCTCTCTGATGGATTTCTTCAAAGGCGCAGTTTAAATGAAATTTTTATTTATTCATTTAAGCAACTGATATCTTCCTTTGAGGAGTCCGTTATGACGTTAGAATCTCTAAAGTATAGCGTTAAATTTTAATTCGTTGACAACAAGAAAAGGGCTATTTTTAAAAGTGTCGTCTTACAAGTTTTACAGAATCTGGTTCGTATACATATTTTCTGTAATAGCTTGAAATGGAGTCATTACAAATTCAATTTTTTCGGCGGAAAAGCGACTTTAATGAGGACGGAATAAACACAGATACACCAGGACTTTACGTGAATTATTTGCTAAAAATGTTTACCTAGACAGCAACTTTGCGGATAAATTAGCTAATCTGTCCCGGGAGATGCGTCCCATTAAAAGCGAGACGAAATATTGCGGCGCCAGGACCGGATTTAAGACTGTGGACTTGCGAGATAATCTGTTTTGATTTGAAAGATGAGGAAAGCCAGAATGGGATCAAAGGGGGTAGACATTCTGCAGAGGTTCTTGTAGGAGGGTTAATTTGGTCGATAAACAAGGGGGAACAATTGATAGCTGTTGTAGGGAATTGCTAAAACCAATTGCTGAACACTTACATCAACGCCATATTCTAGTAATCGTTTGTGTATGGCATACCTGTTATTGTTCAAAGGGCAAGAAAGTTCTGCATAAATTTAAAATTAAATTCGTTTTTTAATAACATAAAAGTATTCATAACTTAAATAAGTTGTGTAAATTGCAGTCATAAACAAGACAAAATAAACTGAGTTTAATATCTTTGTGGATATTTAAGTAACCTTGGCTGTATTGAGGTCTGGTGAATACGTATATAAACACAATTTGTCTGTTTATGCCTTCCAAATAACTGATGACGTCACTTCACGAATTTTTAAATACATCTCACTTTAAATTTGCAGTTTAATGTTTTCCTTTACCTGTGATGTTAAATTTAGGTAAAAATTTTTTTACTAGTACTGAAAATTGATATTAGAACTTTATTAAAATTTAGTAACGTACTAACATTTCCAAAAAATCGGTAAAGTCATCTCAGAAAAGGCTTTGAGTTACTATTGCAATTGTACGTATCAAAATAGATGATGCCATTTCAAGAAAATATTACATAAATTCTGAGAAAATTGCGCCCCAACATGTTCTACTTGTTGCTTTGAGGAAATGGAGGATGTTCCGTGTGGATAACTTTACATTTTTTTTTTAATTATTACCAAATCCTCCCTTTAAAGCACCAAACTCTCTAGTTACGTGTACTTCAAAGGTTAATACGAAAAATTCCCGCTAAATTAAAAACTCAGCCCTCGAAAATTAAACAGAAGAGAAGTATTATGCGGGCGAGTCGAGCGAAGTTACCCACAAAAATTACAAGAAGAAAATTCCAGAGACATGCTTCATTAAATTAACAAGAGCTAACAGCACACGGAGCATTTATCTTTACTTTATCAGTAGTTGATTTAATACGATGAATTTCTTTAGAGTCGAGCTTGCACAGCTTCCAAAGAGAAGAAAGCGTAAGTTTGTTTGAATGTGCTTTCTGCATGAAGAATTTGATAACAATTCTCAGCGTACAAAGCTTCGCCTTTTATCCAACGTGTTGATAAAGTAAGCGCCGTTCTACTTTTCATAACAAAGTGATTAATAGCTGAAACATTCGAACCTGGTCAACAATTTTCGAATTTTGATCTACCGGTACGGAAAAATTGCGTATTGATGATTTATTTGTGGATGTTCTGAAAGGCATCACAGAAAGCGCCAACAAATAGAGAAAAGCTTTGAGGTTTGATTTTTTACGCTGTTATTGTTGAAGCTTTGCTCTTGACAAATAAATTGATTGAAATCAATACGTTATAAAAAAATTCTTTCTCTAAAAGCGGAGTCTGGGTAATTTTATTGTTCTTCCATAATACGGGCTTTCATAATTTAATAACTAATTTGAAAATGTTAAACGGACTGGTTGTCTTTGAAAATACTCTCTGTTGACTTTCCATTACCACGTGATAAATGCGCCTGCTAAAACGCGAACGCTCCTGTGAAAAATGAAAATTAATTGTAAAGTAATTCGTTTCAATAATGTGTGTTTAAACTTCCGTTAGTTCCTGCTAAGCGAAAAAACAACTTAACAATCTCAACCACTTTTCATCCCTTTTACAGGTATTTATAACCCCCTGAACGTCTCCTTATATCGTCAGCCAGCCAAATATAATCATCCCGCTTTGAAAATAATGAAAAAATCCGGCCCTTACCCAACAAAATCCACGAAAGCTTTGTTATTAAAACTTTTCCCCAACTAACGCTCACAAGGAAAAATTAATTATCTGTGAACAAATCTAATTTCCGCTATTAAAAAGGTTTTTATTGGAGTTGTGCCGCTTAAAAACTAATAGAACTTTCGTCATCTCGGAAAAAAGAACAAAACAACTCTTGCAAAAGTGTGGTTGGAAAATCGTTCTCCCAAATGGGAAGGTTCGTATTAACCGGATTATAATTCGATGTCATTTGTAAGTAGTTTCTTAACGACTTTAGTAATCGTAGAGATTCGTACAAAGCACTCATACAAATTATATCTTCTGTCTAACCCGGTTTCTAAAGCTCAAAGTTCACTTGCATAATGTATTAAAGCGGGGTCTTGCATACTTAATTTGGTGTGTACATACGGGGGGAATGAGGCGCTGCTTGAAAACATGACCATTGCTGGAAGGTTTATGCTAGAGGTATAAACTTTGCTAAATTAAGCTTGAATATTAAAGATGTAGGTCCGAAACGACATTCATTTGTAATGGTTATTTTTAGAGAGAATATGGCCAAGCTCTTCTTGCTTTGAAGTAATTTCCATCTATAAGTCTTTGAGTATTAAACAAAACATTTTCATGTGGTAACATTACAAATGCAATACGCGTGCTACAAATATATCAGACTTAGTAATAAACGTAATAGGTATTACTGAATTTCATGTTGGTGTAAGCTGGACATTAGTGTGCTTTTCTCGTCTTATTGCAATTAGTTAATTTAGATTCAGTGAAAATGTCAATTAATGTGACACAGATCAGGCAATGACATGAAATTAATTAATTGCATTATATTTCGATCAAATTTTAAGTCAACCGCAAAGCAATTTTCATGCAGAAAAGAAAGAAAACGAACAGAGCGCAAAAAACGTTAAAAAAACGCGAGTTTGAGCAGTAAAATGAGTTGGAATATATTAACATTTTTCTCACATTTTCTGCTTCAAATATATTTTCAAATTAGAAATGCAAAATATGGAATGCAAATTATAACCTGCTGTAAACTTTTACATTTGATCGTGTTTTAACTGTCACTGGGTTTTTTGACCCAGCGCATCCACCATTATTTGATTGCCATGTGTTACTGCGTATTCACACTGTCGCTTAATATTTTCGGCAGTTGCGTTTATGGCATTTTTATTACAAAAAATTCCGACAAAATTAATCCTGTTTTTTATTAATGCTTAATAGGATATATATACACAATAATAATTATTAAAAGATATTAGGATGTGGAAAGGATTTGGCACATCAAAAATAAAGCTATTTTTCGAAATATTGGTAGATTGCTGATTACAACCAAATTAAGTTTAATTATACAAAAAGAAAACACGATGCAGAAACTCCACTACGTAAATGAAAATAGATTTTAGCAGTTTTGGTGCGGTTTTTGCTTAAATGTTTCGGTAAAAGTTTGTCTTGTTTTGTTGGTGTTCGGCTCAAAGCTGCTTTTAGCCGACAGTGACATTAATTTAACAGATATGTGTATTTACATTTTTTGTAAAACGACGCCCCGAATTTAATTAATGAAATTACCACCCTTAGAAGTGAGGAGTAATATGAATAATTAAATGTGTTATCCCTTTTTAAATTATCACCCGAATGAAATTGGTTATGTTGTTCATTCTAAAATAGG